AGAATAAGTGGACGGTATTAGGAAAAGATATGGATGTGAGCTTAGATGAAACAAAGGACTTGACAGTACTATAGAAAATAAAAGAAAAAAAAATCAGCAATGCAGACTCCCATGGAAATTTAGTCCTTTCATTATATGCAAGGAGAAAAAGCAATTCCATAAAAAAGACAAAGACTTATGGTCAGAGATGGAGGAGGGAGGGCGGGGGTGAACTGTTAACCCTAGGACAAAGTTACTGGAAGAGGATGTTGAGGAAGTATGAGGTAACCAAGAGAGCAAAGGGCTTCCGACAGGTTATCTAGACTAGAAATCAGTCAGTGAGTGGACTTTGTGGACCAGTTTAATGGTAGGACACGAGAGAGGAAGAAAGAAAGTCAAGAAACTTACCAAATGTTCTTACTTGGGTCACTAGATGACAGGTGATCCTGTTAACAAAGTAGCAAACATCTAAAGAGTGCAAGGTTTGTGGGCAAACCTTTTGTCAGTAAGCTCAAAGATGTGGATATTAGTTGGATCATCCTTGTAGGCACTTTGCTAACCAGAGTTAAGCAAACATACCAGATAGTTGTTATTTTGTGGTATCTTGTTCTGCATCAGACATTTCTACACATAGACAAATACAATTATTTGTAAAAACATCAATAAAAGTAATTCCTAGTGTGTTGTACATAAATTCAAGCAAGGAATTCACTGGATATGGAAGATTGTGATTAAGATAGAATAGTAGTAGCATTTTTAAGTCTCTCATCTTTGAAGGGATTGTTAGGTACTTGGGGTTTATCATGAATTTCTCTACCCCCAGGGCCATATCAAAATTTACATTATTAATAGTCTATTATAGCATTATTCCTGCTTCTTTAACACCTATACCTTCATCTATTTGTCATTTCCACTTTTTATAAATTAGCAAAAATCCCCATGCTTAGGTGCTGGCTTCCTTTGTCTCCTTTTTCTGTTGGGAACTGATCATGAGAATGCTAACACCTCTTTTGTTTTTGAAACACAGTATCTCACTGTATCTGGCTTGTTTAAGCTTTTGACGTGACATTCTATTTTGAATTTTCTTTTCTTTTCTAAATATATCTACATTTCATCCCTTAAAGAAGCCAATCTTAGATTTAAAAAAATAAAAAATGAAATCCATATTAGTATGTGGAGTTGTCTGGATTTAATTTTTTCCCCCTACCTCCTTGCTAAGCTAACCCATGTCTATTTATTTGGTTGTCTGTTTTTCAGAGACTGGTGGACATACCTTTGAACTGTTATGTAGAGTTCAGACTTTTTTTGGGGGGGGGGCACTTTTAACCTCTATGTAGTTTTTTTAGCAATTTTTTTTCTACAACAAAATAATGTCTTAAAAGTTTAACTAAGAAAAGGATTAAATTTGTACTGTTTAGAGAAATTGATCATAAAGAAGTTTATGTAAAGTATTTAACAAAACTTTCAGTATTTTGGCCCTGGTTTCCAGTAGTGTTACCATTAAAAGAAAAAACAAAGAAATGCTGCATTTAGAACATGGGCATTTTGGTTGAGGAATGTCAGCATGGTTTTCTAGAGTGCTTGTAGCACCAGAACATTTTAGTAATTTCTGTTAGAATTCTTCATTTGTAGGCAGGTTAATCTATGGTAGGTGGCATTATGTCCATTTCATGTTAATTTTCGAGGGGCTATCAATCACTATTTTTTAGAGATACATAAATTTCATTTTCTTGCCCCTCCTCCTTTAGTTTATTCTGCCAACCATTTATAGTAAACCTAACTGCAGACTTTGCTGGTTTGGGTACAACGTTTACTTCACTCATCCATTAATTTTTATTTCTAACAGAATAAGCATATGGTCCTCATACTCTATGAAATCAGACTCTTGGAATAAGATTCTATTATAAATTTCATTGCTCATTACCTTTATGTGATGTTACATTATATACATCACTTAGTATGAAAAGCTGCATAGATGGAACAGATCTATTTTGACTTTAAGTTGTCCTTTATTTTTTTTATAAACATGGAATTCATATAACTATACATGTAGTTTATGGCTTTTCATATATATGTGTGTATGTGTTATTGGCTACAATGTCTTTATTCGTGTTCAGTGTTTTTAATTAGGACAAGGATGAATGAATAAATATTCCCATTATTGTCTAATGCAGGGGCTGGTGAAGCAAGGCCCTGTGGCCTATCTTTGTATGAACCAGTTACTAAGAATGGTTTTTACATTTTTAAACGCTTGAAAAAGACTCAGAGGAAGGATAACATTTTGTTTCCCATAGAAATAATATGAAAATCAAATTTTTAGCATCCAGAAGTAAAATTTTATTGGAATATAGCAATATCCATCCATTACATAGTCCATGACTGCTTTCATGCTATAGTGGCAAAATTGAGTCATTGCAAGGGAAGACTCCACAGACTAAATACTACCTTAAAAAAAAAAGAAAAAAAAAAAGTTTCCTGACCCTGGTCTAATGCATAGCTGACTTTTTTTCCCTCTAAATTTAAAAAAGTTTAATCAAGTAATCAAACTAATACCAGCATCAATAATTTCTTTTCCCTAAAAGTGATACAGGGAACTTGTCCATTTCATGTTAATGTACTTCGTGTTACAATATGCTTGTCCATTGCCTGGGCAAAATTAACTCCTTGTGCTAGTCTGATCAGGGAAAAAGTTTGCCCAAAGAATAAGAGTGAGGCACTCCAAATAAATTCTCTTTCTCCATTTTCCATCATTACCTACATATTTAATTTGTTTTAATGAAGCTAGTTGCAGAGCATAACTGTGGTGTAGAAGTAAAAACATCTGAGTTCAAGATTTAATCATTATTTTGTATTCAAGACAGAAATAAAGAATTACTTGAAGTAACTGTGAAAGGATGACAAGAGCCTCTAAGACAGGCTCCATGGATTTTTGAAGTGCCTACGTAATCATTAGAGGTTGAAGATAATTAAACTGGAAGGTGACATCTTAGGACACACTACTCTGCCTAGTAAACTACTACATGGATTTGACGGAGATAACTGCAGAGTGAATGTAGCAGTTATTCCTAGAAGAAAAAAAATTAGTTGTCTTCTTTGAAAATAAATTATTTTGCTGACTCCCTTACCCTATATTTTTTCTTCTTTCCTATTTCGTATTGGAAATAATAAAGATGGGTTAGCTTTTAGAATGTTATTTGTATAAAGTGTGAAGAAATGCCAAAGAAGACAACAGAGATTTTCTATAAAGCTCTGTGTTTCTTTGGTATTACTTTAGTCCAGATGCAATATTGAGGCTCTCCATTAATCCTTAACTTTTTTTTTTTTTAGAGTGAGCAAGAGCACAAGCGGGTGGGGGAGAGGCAGAGATAGAAGGGGAGAGAGAGAATTTTAAGTAGGCTACACATAGCACAGAGTCTGACTCAGGCCTTGATTTCATGACACTGAGATCACCACCTGAGCTGAAACCAGGAGTTGGGTGCTTAACCCAGTGTGCCTTCCAGGTGCTCCTATCCTTAATTCTTTTGCACAATTATAAAAGGTTATGGGTTTTTCAGATTATATTCTAAAATATGTAAAGGACATAATGTATTTCCTTCCCCTCAAATCATTTGTGGAACACATTGGGGAATTCATTTATTAATTCCTCAAATATTTATTGAGTACCTACTGTGTGTCAGAGACTATTTCTGAAACTTAGGATGTATCAGTAGACCAAACAGAACCAAATAAGATTTTTGACTTCATAGTGCTGACACTCTAGAGGGAAGAAAAAGACAAGAAGCAATGCACATAATAAATGAGTAAAAGGCATAGCATATTAAAAAATAAGTGAAAGGGAAAAAAATAAGAGCAAGGTAATGGAGATCAAGAATACCATGGTGGGAGTTGTGATCTTAAATAGGGTAGTTAGTGAAGTCTTCATTGACAAGATGGAGCTTAAGTGAAAAGCTGAAGAAGCTATAGATGTTAGCCATGTATGCGTGTGTGTGTGTGTGTGTGTGTGTGTGGAGAGAGAGAGAGAGAGAGAGAGATAGGCTCTAAGATGGGGGGAAGCTACCTGGGTAGAAAACAGCAAGGAGATGTCATGGCCGGAATGGAGTGAAGGAGAGGAAGAATAGTAGGAAATGAGTCAAAGAGGTAATGGGGTCAAATCAGATAGGACTTTGTAAACCATGGAGGATATTTCACTCTTAGTGATGCAGGGAAACCCAGTGGGACTTCTTGTTGTGGAGTGATATAATTTGAGTTACTTGTTAGAAGGTCTACTTGATTGCTTTGTTGTAGATGAGCAAGGGCAGAAGCAAGGAGAATTAGCAATGAGAATATTGCGGTGATTCAGGGGAAAGATGATGGTGGTTTAGACCAGGACCAGTCATGGAGGTGGTAAGAATAGGTGGGTTTTGGACCTATTTGATGGTAGAATGTGTAGGATTTCTTAATAGAATGCATGTGAGAGTAAGAGAAAAAACAGAGCATATTTTAACATTCTCTCTCTCTCTTTCTCTGTCTTTGCTGGGAAAACTGTCATCAGTCAAAAATAGAAGGGTCTACATGTTGGACAGGTTTTGGGGGAAAAATCAAAAGTTCAACTTTGAGTATTCTGAGTTTAATATATTTATTAAAATAAAATCAACTCTGTAAGGTCCCAATTGGTACTTTCCCAGTGTCTGCCTCATGGAAGATGTTAAAAAACATTGTATGAGTATTTAGTATGTATAAATATATTAAGCACCTCTGTAGTATGAATTACTTAGTAAATGAGGATTCATTGAGCAGCTAGTACTCAATGAATGGCAGGCATCAGATTTGTTGCACCATAAAACAGAGAGTCTAACCAAATTCTTGTTAGAACCTCGCAAGGTAAATGGCTAAGTGGCTCTAAGCTTTAAGATTCAAACTCGTATTTTGCTTCAAAAAGAAGCAAAGACAGCTTCCATTTAATTTTATCGGTGATCTTGCAAAAGAAATAATAGGATACCTGTTAAGCTGCTGTTTGTTTAAAATCTGATTTTTATCTTCAGATTATAACACAAGTGAACAAAAACAAGCCTGTAAGAAGCATGAACTCTATGTGAGTTTCCGGGATCTGGGATGGCAGGTAAGAACTTAGGTGGTTCCTTTCTGTTTTATTACAAATCCGAAGTTACTCGTAATCTTTGTTAGTAATCTTTCTAATACACTAACCAATTATTTTTGATGACTGTTCAGTACATGGGCTATTCACATCATTTTATTTCCCCATTATCCTACCACCACTGAAATATTATTATCAGAGTTTACAGTAAAAAACAGCTATGCTGAAGAAGAAATGTAACCCAGTGATATTTTAGAAGGTGGGAAAAGGTGCTGTTGTTTAAATATCCCGAAGTTTTCATTCTAATACCAGTTTTTCAGATTAACTCGAGCAATACCATTTGCCCCCCCAGGTTTCAAACTCTAGGGCTAGGAAATAAAATCCTTGACTATAATGTCTGTCATAAAGTAGAGCCACAGGAAAAAAAATAATGTTTTTTCCCCTGAACCTAAGGGTTTTATTGCTGTCTTTTCCACATGCTTCACAAACACGGTGAGGAGGAGGATTTAATCAAAATAGTTTTTAGTTTCTCTATGTATTGATAGTTTAAATTGAAGTTTTTAGATTACATTATCCCATTACAATGGATTCACAGAATTGAATTTGGGCTATCTCGTTGAAAAGTAATATTAAAATGTAAGCATTTTAAACTTTTATGATAAACTTTCAACACGATTCATTCAGTGAGTCTGCATTTGGACCAAGTTTCACTTCATGAGGAAAAAAAATCAGGGCAACCATTCCATATGCCAATTTTTTGTCTTCCCCAAAAATTTCATGTGCAGTTCTCAAGAATTTGCTCCAATTTGTTTCCTCTAAAGAGACTATAAAGTTAACATGTGAATGGAAAGAAAAACAGCAAAAGGAACAAATATTAAAGCTCTCAGAGGTTGTCAGGTTTCTAAAACCAGGAATGAGTTATTAAGGAGTAATGGGAATTATCTCAATTAAGTTTATTCTTTTCCTTTCTGGTTCCCTTGAACTTTCCAGAGTTCATCATTTCCTGTTTAAACAATATTTACAATGCTACTTAATGATTATGGTTTTATTTATGAATACATGAATTAATGCATACTATGAATAGCCTACGTAGCAACCTCTGGGAGAAATTACAGAGGGCAATTTCTTGTGAAAATACTTATTCTTGTGTTGTAAACTTCAGCTTAAAAATAAATTAAAGGCTTGAGGGTAGCTATCTTGTAAGAATAATTGTTGGATGAAGAAGAGAAACCTAGACAGACTAAATGTGGGTATTATTTCAGAATTACTTTATTTTTATTTTGATGATTTCTTTTATTCCTTTTCTTCTTTCTTTCTTTTTCTTTTTTTGTGTGTGCATTCTAGGACTGGATTATAGCACCAGAAGGATATGCTGCATTTTATTGTGATGGAGAATGTTCTTTTCCACTCAATGCCCACATGAATGCCACCAACCATGCCATAGTTCAGACTCTGGTATGCCTTTGTTTTTGTAGAATTGAAAATGGCTTATGATGCAAGCATCATATAAATGTTATTTTAAAGGAAAACATCCAGTTATAGCTGTAAATGTATTATTTTTTCTTTAAAATTCCCTTGGTACTTTTTTTTTTCTTTTTAGAGTCAAAGTAATAATTGTGGATATAGTCAAGAAATTCAGACTGGTTTAAAGAATAGTCCTGATTACAGAATGAAGAAGACTTCAGTTAGGAAAATTGGAGTAACCACATGAAGTGGTCACTCTGCACTGATTTCTTCGCTGTGCAGTATGACTAACCACACTGGTTCCCAGGGGCTGTTTCTAACCTAGCAATTCATTAGTAACCATTGCAAAAACATTGAATAATAGCCTTACTAAATTTCATCTGAGGGCTTTTACTCTAATATTAAAGAATGTTTCACCACAATACTTCAGTATTATGAAACCTCTTCAGGTAGACTATAAGTAGAAGATTCATTTCTATTTCATGATCTTTATTATTTTTTTAAATAATCTTTAGGGTGGAATTTCATCTTCATTTTTTCCTTTCCTCACTCTGGCATTCAGCAGTGATTTAATCTCTAATAACCTGGGCTTATTTTTATGAAAACAATAATGAAATGTTGATTTTGTGGTCTCTAAATGGTTGTACTGTATTTAACGAGCTCATGAAACCTCTTGAGAGCCTGACACACCTGCCTTATGGTGTGTGACTTACTGATCTGGCAGAGGGACAGTCTCTGGAAGACTAAGTGGGAGGCTCCTAAAAGGTGCAATAGATCATGTGATAAAATTCTGAATTAATATTTGGGTTAATAAGAACATTTTAACCATATGTCATCAAGAGAGAAGGAAAAGGATATGTTGTTTTAGATTCAAGACTTAGTGACAGAAGTTGCTCTTTGGCAGATGCCAGTAGGCGAGCAGTAGCCATGAGGAAAAAATAATCTATCTTTGTGGGTGAGTCTTGTTTATGATCAACAAAAAAATGGAACTACTAGAATTTGTGAGTTGACTCTTAATGTTATTTTTTTTGGAATTTATTTAAAATTTAAAGCTGATGAAAAGACTATGCCAGTTTTCTTCTGAATAAGGAATGGTATATACAAATTGGCAGATTAAATCCTTGAATGGCTTGATGTTTTCTGGTCTGGACATCATAGGTATTGGAGAAGAGTTAGACACCAGAGAGGCATGTCTATGGCAACTAGAGCATGGGTATTGTCCAAAACTTTGGAAATAACCTTGGAGTAAAGAGAAACAGAGAGATAAATACATGTTTTGAAAGGCAGTCATTTATAAATATTTTTCTTTTTCTTCTTGACCAATGAGATTGCCTACTTCTGTGCCACATGCAAAGAATAAAGGAAATTCCTAGGGATTTTTTTAAGATTTGTTATGCTTTCATATTTGCTATACCTACAAATAGAAGTGCTTCTTGATGCAGGATATCATTTCTGGGGGTTGGGAAAAAGAATCTCTGTGAACTGTAGCCATCTATCCTTGCCTATGAGAATTCTATGATGACCCAAAATGCAATCACATAGAGAGAAATGCTGCTGTTTCGAGCCTTGAAAGAATCACCATGATGCCTGTCTTTCTGTAGGGTCAAAGCAATAGCCACTGTTAGCTTATAGAGGAATGACACTTGGTTTCTCAGAAAATTCTTTGCCTCTTTATATTGTCTTCTTAATGACTCAGAAAGCAGACTTCTGCTTCATTGAATTTGATACATCCTAATGTATCAAAGGCAGCCTCAGACTGAGCAATGCTTAATTATTGAAAAAACTCTGTCAAAATACTCTTCCTCTCATTTTTCTTTTTCTTATTTCTTATGAATATATAACCACGTATTGTCAGCTTTTAGGGCTATAGTCTAGAAGGCAGTGTCAAAAACCAAACATTTAAAAAAAAATTTTGACATGGACTTGGAACAAGTCCCTGCTCTGCTTCACTGTCCTGAGACATGGGACGTAAGTCATTGCAAAACTTGAAGCATACATGGGAAGTTTGATTTTTTTTCCTGGCATTGTGCACTCTGTACGCTTGTTCTGTGAAGGACATGAAACAAGAAGACATGCTCGTTGCTAAAGGAAAGCATATTTATGACTAATATGTTTGAGAAACCAGTCAAGAACAATCCATTTTTTTTTTTTTCAGAATGATTGCTTTGCGAAGCTGCCAAGGCCATTGAAATAAGGGGTTATCAATCATGTATGTGTGGGTTATGTAAGATCAAGCTGATGAGGGACACAAGCCTGCATCTGAAATTTGTCCAAACTATCCAACTTTTAGTTTTGTGAGGTCCTAGGAAATTTCAAGTTCATGTCAGATCACCTCATTTTTCCTGCTGTTTCTGTCCACATGCAGGGCTCCTATATCATTTCAGCCAGGACATTGTGCAGCCAAAACTCTAAGAGGCTGTATTTGCTTTTTGTGGATCCCTTAAGACTCATCAGTAGGACTTCCCATAAACTCCTTTGGGGGAAGGGCCTGGGTAGCTGGGTGGGAAAGGGGGAACCATGTACTGGCTCCTTGCTCAATGACTGCAAACTATAGGCAGACTGCCAGTCTGATCAAAATGTGAACAAACTCTGTGCTTAAGCATTTCACTTTCGGTGTACAGCCACCTTTTGAGGCTCTTGGAGGAGAGGAATATTCAATTTGTAAACTATCTGGGCTCCTTGCTTCTGATTTAGCTAAACGTGCTTTTTGGCACTTGTCTAGGAGAGAAGGAAAGCAAAAGGGTATTAAACTCCAGCCAGTCTGGTTAAAATTTCTGTAGAGAAGAGTTGAAATCATTGCTTTAAAATAAGTTTTGGGTTATACCTGGAGTTCACTTTGTGGTGATTTTTATGTTTCCTTTATTGTGAAAAATTAAAAGTGGGTGTAACTTTTATGAGTTGTTGTTTAATTGTCCTTTAAAAAATAATTCTTAGAGTCAAATCTTTCTACAGTCTAATCGTGTCCCTTCATGAATTCGCATTTATAACTTCTGCATTTCTTATGAAGTAGATAGGAGTCATTCTAACCAAAAGCAACTCAGTGCTAGTTCCCATGTTCTTTCCCCCAGGAAAATTTCCACTGAATATTTCATTGAAGGAGTTTTCCTTACTTGGTAGAGTATTTTTGAAGGCCCCAACACATAATGAGAATGGGTGAGTTGAGTCTAGGTGTTCACGCCTAAAAATACATCCTTCCCTACCAGTCCCCAACCTCCACCCCAGCCATTGAACATAAATAGAAGAGGGATAGCTTAACGGTGTGTCCGATTGTGTGACAAAACAAGAATATTATTTGAGGGTGCCTGGGTGGCTCAGTGGGTTAAAGCCTCTGCCTTCGGCTCAGGTCATGATCTCAGGGTCCTGGGATCGAGTTCCGCATCGGGCTCTCTGCTCAGCAGGGAGCCTGCTTCCCCTTCTTTCTTTGCCTGCCTCTCTGCCTACTTGTGATCTCTTTCTCTGTCAAATAAATAAATAAGATCTTTAAAAAAAACCCACCAAGAATATTATTTGAAAGCTGTGGACAAAATGTCTATCTCGTTTCTTAAAAAAATGTTTTTCTTTCCCAGGTTCATCTGATGTTTCCTGACCACGTACCGAAGCCTTGCTGTGCTCCAACCAAATTAAATGCCATCTCTGTGCTGTACTTTGATGACAGCTCCAATGTCATCTTGAAAAAATACAGAAATATGGTAGTGCGTTCGTGTGGCTGCCACTGATATTAAATAATATTGGTAATAAGAAAAAGATCTGTATTAAGGTTTAGGACTTTAATAAAAAGTATGCTTTCACACAAGAAGGGAATTTCATAAAATTACTCTGGCTCATTTCATCTCTGTACCTATGTACAATATTGTGTATATAGTTACTTTTATTTATTTAAAGGTATATATTCTCCTTTGTGGATGCCTTAGCAATAAAATCTATTCTATAGGTCTATTACACAATAGATAGCCCAGTGTAACTTTCAATGGGATATGCTAAGTCCAATTCAATTCCATGTCAACATTTTTCCTAATGTGATTTTTATATAATTTTCTGAAATTAGAACTCCTTTGCATGTTAATCACTGATAAAGGACATTGAATGCATTTGGCTATGTGGTACCTGTGAAATGGATAGGTTGTTTATTTAGAAATAAAACTAAAAAAAAAAAAAATAACAACCCAAACAAAAATGCTTGGATAAACACAATTTTTCTTTCGGAGTTTCTGCTACATTAGATAAAGTGAAATGTTGAACTGGATTTGAATAAATAAACAGTAGGCAGAACATAGAAGCTGAGAGATTACACATAATTGTTGTAACTGTTTGCTTTAACAGCATTGATGTAACTGGAGGAGTGCGTTCCTTCTTGGCTTGTGGACTATAGATTTTGCAAAGTGCTCAAAGCTTCAGGAATTCTGTGGAGACAGGCTTGAGCCTGTGTCCATAACTTTCCAAGTTAACACTAAAATATTGTAGTACAACCTTCTTACCTCAAATAAATCATGTCTGCCTATTATCTAGAACACTACTGCTGCAGATTTTTTTTTTTCAGATTTAAAAACAGTCCAAAATAAAGAAACATTTACATGCGCTCCACTTCTCTTCCCACAGACAAGAGTCATTGCATACATAAAACATAGCGGAGCGAAGATGCCGACAGAGCCATTTTCCTTAGCTCTCCTTTATGACTGAGTCTGCTGATTGATGGGATGCAAGGGATTTTATTTAGGGTAAAAGCACTGAAACTAAACTGAAGGAAATTACCAAAAATCCTGGAATGGCTTTGACAGAATTGCCATTTTGAAAGAACAGCTGAAATCCATTTTTCATATCTTTGAGAACGAGCTCAATGAAAACCTTATTTTGTGAGGGGATTTCAGAAACCTCCCTCCAAGCACAAATAATTCCAAACGGGAAGGTTCTGATGTGTGCATGTGCATGTGTATTCTTCCCCCTGAAATTAATTTATTTTCTTTCTTTGCCTTCTAAGGCTTTTCTTTAACACACACTAACTTTTGGAAGAATGACATTTAGATGGATTACTTGCTCTTTGTCGTGGCTCTACAGCTAAGCTTATTTACAGCTCATCTAAAATATTCATAAAACACCATTAATTAATCACCTTTTTGGACCTTTCAAGTAAAACTTGTATCAGAAATAGCTTCAGAAATATTATGGTCTCGCTTATAATTCAGGTATATTACAATGTTGTTTGAGAATACAGTTTATCTCAAAGAAAATTTGATAATAACTATATTGGGGGTACATTAAGTAATATATTTTTAAATAAATAGTGTACCATTGTAAGAAAAAGAAATGGAAGTCTATTATATTATTCTTTAAATGTGCTGTTTAAATATATTTCTATATTTTAAAATATATTAAACTTGTGATGCTAGTTTCTACTGATTTGGCTCTTTATTTAAGAGGGACACAAAAATGTGAGTATGTCATAAGCTGAGATGCTAAGAATATCAGCTGTAAAATGTTGGTGGGTTACATGATTCCTTATGTTCTTTTTAATTGCCAAAACTGGCTTTTGTGTTTTTAATAAATAATCCACTGTTAAATGGACAAAGCAACAATCCATGAATTAAGATTCTTCTTAATCTGCACAAGCAGTAAAGACATTTTTAAAATAGCAAAAATTATAGGGATGAAAAAATATCTCACTTGTTCGTTTTCACTTGAGGTAATTGGCATCAGTATTTTCATAATTTTTCAGATTAGATACATGAATATATGTACATATATGCAATATGCTCAGTTAAATTATTCTCAAATAGCTATTAGAGTAAATTTGTACTATTTCTTTAGTAATACTTAAGCTATTATCAGAAACCAGAATAATTTAGTTTGTTTTAACAGGATCTAAACAACTCAGGGATTTTTAGCTAGTTAGGTATTGGCTTTTTCTTTGTGTGTTAGTTTTAAAATTTCTTGCTTTATATGTATTTTGCCTTGTAGAGTGGCCCTAATTCCTTCTGAAAGTAGAAGGGTATAAATCACAAATACCAAGTTCTTTAAACTAAGGCAAAAATAAATCGTCTATAGTGAACTAAAGAAATAAGAAAAACACAAGAAAGGAAAATCCAAAATTATTTTTTTCTCAAGAACTGTCATTTTATAATCCCTATATCACCATCATCGAATCTGAGCCAGAGTCTACTGGCTACTCTACAGTCTGGCAGGTATCATCTCCCAAGAAATTTACAATGAGTGATGTTTTTGATGCAGTTCCATTCAAGGCAGAAGAAATGCTCTTTCCCAAACACAAGTCACTGTCTCATAACTACTCAGTCAACTGCTCAATCTATCATCCAATTTCCACTTAGAAATTATCTGCAGTTCTAGGTTTTCTCCTTTGTATTTTATTTTTATTTTTTCTGCCTGGAAAGTTAAAGAAGTTAGAACTGAAGATGCCTTCGCTGATGAAACATATACGTTGTTATGTATACATGTATACATCTGTATTTTATCAAGTTTGGTTAAGATCATAATTGAGGAGAAAGTAGGAAAAGTAACAGTCATTGCCAGTATTTATTCTTATTTAGACAGGAAAGTGACACTATATCCAAGTTAGCAATTTAAAAAAAAACAAAGGTTCTGCAAAATTACCTCAACGTCTGTTGTAATATTTGTTAATACTTATTTGAAACATGGGTCTTTCAAAGACAGAAGAACCTGGATCAGATATAGCCTTAAAAAAAAAAAAAAGGAAATTTCAGAAGTTTTAAAACATGCACCTTAACCTTTGCGTCTCAGTTTCCACTTTGCAGATGCAGCTAGCCTCTCATCATTCCTCAAAGGTCAACATATATACACAATGGAGAGAGAATGGGTAGATGCACTACAGCTGCTGGAGGTTATCTATAGAAGGATGGGAGACAAAATACTGCATAAACAGCCCCTGTACCCAGCCATTTGGAATAGAACGGAAGCTGAGCGGTTAGTGAGGTGAGCAGTACTCCTCCCCCCCCCCCCAGTTCACTGTGGCTGCTAGTATGTGGTGAAATGTAATAGAACCTACTTAAAAAGCTGGACTGTGTTTTTCCTGCGGATACCTATAGAAAGAGCCCAAACTAGGGAAATAATTCTCTACCTCAAGCCCCAGGCCTGTAAGATGTCGTAGATTTTGTATCTTTATACTTTCCTCAGTAATTCACATTTGCCCACATACATACGCACACTTATAAATAAGTGTATTTTTATATGTTTTAAAGAAGAGGGAATAAAAACACAAATAAAAAAATACTTTAAGTGAACCAATAGGACTTTGGGGAAAGAAAAATATAATACAATGGGGAATTTGAGAGAACTTAAAGTATATGAGGATCAAAGGGAATTTGAACATCCATTTAATCAGTATTCTGGAAAACTGGAGACAACTTTTTTTTCTTTTTAAGATCTTATTTATTCACATGACAGACAGAGATCACAAGTAGGCAGAGAGGCAGGCAGAGCGAGAGGGGGAAGCAGGCTCCTCTCGGAGCAGAGAGCCCCGTGCCTGGCTGATCCCAGGACCCTGGCTG